CCCCAAAACCCCAAAACCCCATTGAATTGAATTGAATTGAATTGAAAGTGGGTTAATAAAAACCAGAAATAAATGAATATATATTCATTAAATCAAACTTAATTGAGCTGCTATGGTCATGCAGCAAAATCTCAAAGATTATGTTGGCCCATCTGGACCCTTTCATTCTTGGTTGGTGTATTCCTTTTGGCAATCACCCTACCAGCGTACCCCTCCTGGTGTAGTGCTAGCAGTGATGTTCAGTACTATTAATTGTCGAACTCTCTATTGTTTAGATATTCTTACATTAGTATATCATCAATATCATCATCATCGTCCTCGTCATCATTTTCTGATTCTGATTCTTTAATGTCAAACATGTTTCTTTCAATATCTTAGCATACAGTGATTGTTGTTCTGAAAATTTAATCATCATAATGAGAACATTAAATTTCTTGTTCTTCTTCAATAATTTCATATATATCTTGTCTGATTTTTTAGTTCATTGGTTTGCCTGCAAAGTTTAATGATTTGGCTATTCTTTCACATATTCTCTTTCCTAATTCTTTGGATAGGTCTCCTATTTCAGGTACTTCTTCTATATAATGGTCATATTACCAGTAAAGTGTTGGAAGTATAATTGCTTTTCTTGACTTATCTGTACTTATGTAGTTTACTATCATAGCAATAAAGTTAAAGTAACAGTCCTTTTTAACTTTCTTAGTTATTTCTCTGAAATATTCTGGTTTTACTAAGTCATCTAGCTAGCGAATTATTTCATCTGTTAGCATACCTTTCCTAGTGTTTTTGGTTTCCTCTGCTGTTTCTCTTATTGATTTTAGGAATTATGCCATTGTTTCTGCTAATTCTATATGTGTTAGTAGTCTGCATGTCATTAGGTCATACTTTCTTGTATTTCTTACTACACATTAGTAGATACCATCAACTTTTGGCACTTCGGCCACTCTCATTATTTTTTCTGCTATATCTTCATATGTGAGGTTGCCCTCTGCTCTATTGTTCCAATATATTACCTTTAGTGTTCCTTCTCTTGCTGTTTTATTGGAGGTTTTTAGGCTTTCATACATTGCATTTTTCAATGCCTAGCTCATCCAGGGTTCTACTTATGGATATGAGTTTGGTCTGTACACTGGGGGTTTTTCATCTTTCAGTAGTAATAGGTCCTTATGTGTCTGAATAATTGTTGCTTTGTTATCCTTTATTACTATTTTTTTATCTTCATTAATAGTTTTTCTAGCTATTAATTATGTTTCTTCAGGGATTTAGGTGAATGGGTTTCTTTTTACTTCTTGTATTACTAAAGAGGGTTTTTCCTCTTTAGTTTCTTCTTTCTTTGTCTATGGCACAGTGTTATTTAAGGGTTATTGGGGCGATTTCTTGCCTTCTTTTTCCTTTGGGGGTGACTTTTACTTAGGTTGTTCTTAGGGTTTATCTTAGGAAGGCTATTATTTTTCTATGGAGATAATCTCCTCTGGTGGCTTCTGTTGTTCTTTGATTTTAACTGTTGCTTCTACTACAGAGTCTTCTTTATTAATTTGGTTTTCTTCAACCAACTTTTATTCATCAGGTTTTCCAACAATTTTGCTTTCTCTTAGCAGGGTTTCTTCAAATTCTTTTTGTTGTTACACTAATGTTTTCTTGCTCCTTGGGGTGGTTCTTTTACTTGGTGGTGTTTTCCTTTCTTCATCTGAGCTTGTTTCAATAATTTTCTTAACTATATCAGAGATTTTTGGTTTGGCTTCTGCTTATTTCTGTTATTTCACTTAGTATCTCTTCTATTCTTATAGTTGCTTCTTCTGTTAGATTTGGTGGTTGCTCTTGCTATTCCTTTAGTAGTAGTTCCAGTCTTGAAGCTACTACTTGGTGTTAGGTTTGTTATTGGTCAGCTGAGTTTCATCTTATAGACTTTTGATATAATTGAATTTAAACGGCTGTTGTTAATTCATATTTTATCGTTAAAATCTGTTCGGATTTCTCGATCTGATCAGGTCCTTTTAAGTTCTGTTCATTAAATTGATAGTTTCTTCCATTTTTAAAAATCTGTCACAAAGTTCGTGAGTTTCCCTACTTTGTGTTTCTATCATTCTCTCCATCGCTTCCATTCTTTCATTAATAACTCCTTCTTAGCTTGTTTAGAACTTTACTGATTTGTTCTTCTCTGTGTCTGTTGGTGTTAGCTTCTATTCAGTGATTGTTGAGATGGCTAAGTTTTTCAACTTAAAGCCATCTTTATTATCTTCATCATAATCTTTTACTGTATTTGGCTTGATTGCAGCTGGCTTCTTTTTTGGTGAGTCTGTCAACTACACCTGGATTGGCTTATAAATTCTTGTTGTAATCCATAGTTTGATGAAAATGCTTTCAAGTTCTTCTGAGTAGTGGTTCATAAAGATCATGTGTACTAGTGGTCCTAGTAGTTCCATCCATTTGGCTACTTCGTTTTGGTTCAACACCAAAACTTGGTAGATTCTTTCAGCTTCTACTTCCTGATAGTCATTAGTTGAGTCTGACTCGAAGACTCCTAGTTTAAACAGCATTTTAAGACATTCTTTGTAAACTAGTGCACACCTTGCGGTGTAGTTCGTTTATTAGGTCTTGGTATAGATTCTTACCTTTTCGGACAAAGATGTAAAGATGTTTAGTCCTTAGTTTCCTTGAATGATGTCAAGTAAGTCGATTTTGAGGTTATGATTCCCCTGCTTCACAATGTTCTTAAACTTAGTTCATGTTGAGTCATTTAGCATGTTACTATAGTTTGAAGTGTCATTGAGACTCTTAGATATTGTTTATGGCATTATCTTTTCTGGCAATTATTTTGGGTCCAACGTTTTTGGGTTTGCGTCACAACAAACCAAGATTAAATTTTTTTATATTATTTTTTAGTTTTTTACATGATTTTGATGGAATATCGGGGTTTTGGGGTTTTGGGG